AAACTTCTGACCTCAGGTGATTGGCCTTCCTCGGCCTCCCAAAGTGTTGGTATTATAGGAGTGAGCCACCATCCCTTTTTTATACTCTTATGACTTGCAATTCTGGCACATGGAATGCTACAGAAATGCTTCTGAATTATTGCCATTGATTTTTTTTTTCTCAATCAGTCATTATTATAATCCTTTTTAGAAGATTGATGAATTCTCCTTGGATTTTTTGACTGTATTTTACTTTTTAAATTATTCAGTGACTTATCCTTTTTCCCTGTCAGTGATTTAATAGGATGCAACAGATAGGCCAGTGTATTACGAGCTTTGTTTTGTGTTTCTTTCCCTCCTTCAGTGACATTGCCTTTCTTTTTTGTTAGATTTCAAGACTTCCATTTCTGATCCATCCATGTCTTTGTCCTCTTCCTAATCCTTTCTTTAATTCCCAGTTCTGGGTACCCTCATACCTAGTCTCCTTCACCCTTCTCTACATTGGCCTTCAACTTCTTTCCTTCCAGCTACTTCAGTTTGTGTGTTCAAGGTGTGCTTCCAGACTGTGATCCATGTTTTACCGTCTTCCTACACATTCTCACAGCTCTCCTTAGGTACAAAGGCAAGAAGTTACAAGCTTGCTAGAAAACTAAACCCCTTCCCTTTATCTTCCCAGTAAGCCTACTAAAGCGTAATCTCACTTCTGAAGATTTAACCTTTATTAACACATGTTCATAACCCACCCTGCCTCTAAAACCTTCTGATGAGAACCATTTCAGTTTTATGGCAACCAAGAGGACGTACATGCACTGCTTTCACTGTGAACTGAATTTGCTGCACATGTGGGGAAACCATGGGGGAAAACTGACTGTGTTTTCTGTCTTCTGTTGACAGAATGGTACACGAAACTTCCAGGACTTTGACTGTCAGGTAAGGACTGTACAGACAACAAGGAGGCTCTGTACAGGATCTCTGCAGTGTTTCCTTTTCTGTGGTGGTGGTCTTGTAGAAGTGGATCTCGTATTATAGCTAATAATGAGTTCTTACTGTTGGTTTGGTCATTGGATCAAGTTCATTTAAAATGATTTGCAGTCATTGGCCATGGGTACAGTGGCTCATACCTGTCATTCCAGCACTTTGAGGGGCTGAGGCAGGCAGATCATTTGAGGTCAGGAGTTTGAGACCAGCCGGCCAACATGGTGAAATCTCATCTCTACTGAAAATACAAAAACTAGCCAAGCGTGGTGGTGCACGCTTGTAATCCCAGCTACTTGGGAGGCTAAGGCAAGAGATTCACTTGAACTCCGGGGTGGAGGTTGCAGTGAGTCAAGATTATGCCACTGCACTCCAGCCTGGGCAACAAGGTGAGATTCCATCTCCAAAAAAAAAAATAATAATAACAATGATTTGCTATCATGTTCAGAAATTGCCTGCCAGGTACCTGTTTTATGATTGTAGGTTATTGGATAGAGCTGTCTCTTTGTGATTAAGATCTCTTTTCCTCACATGATACTGGAAACTGCATTTGTCACAGGTGGCAAATGGAAGGTTGCTCCCTTACCGCAGAGAAGATAGGAGAGGGGCAGATAGAGGATAGATTTCTTGACAGTAAAATATTTCCCTAAAAGAAAAGGCTAAATTGCTATGAATACAGTATGCATCTCTTGGGTTTCTGTTTGGAAATGAAAAATTCAACTTGACTCATTAGTATTTTCCTAAATGAAAGTATTCTTCCTAGTCTGCTTTTGTATCAGCTCTGTTGCCAGTTTGAAAATCAATAAAATGAACCAGCAGTTCTCCTTCTACCAACTTTATCTGTTGTCTGGTCCTGAAAGAAATGGGACTGAGGGCCGGGCACAGTGGCTCACGCCTACAATCCCAACAGTTTGATAGACTGAGGCTGGTCAATCACCTGAAGTCAAGAGTTCGAGACCAGTCTGGCCAATGTGGTGAAACCCTGTCTCTACTAAAAATACAAAAATTAGCTGGGCATGGTGGCACATGCCTGTAATCCAGCTACTCAGGAGGCTGAAGTGGGAGGATTGCTTGAACCTGGGAGGCAGAGGTTGTAGTGAACTGAGATAACACCACTGCACTTCAGTGGGGACAACAGAGTGAGACTCTGTCTCAAAAAAAAAAAAAATTGAAAAAAAAAATCCATGGGAGTAAGAAATAAGTACATGGAAATGGAAACCTTATAAGCTGGGCAGCCTGACCCTCTTACTTTTGGGATAGATGCCATAGCAGTAACAAAAGTGACATGAAGTACATCCAGATGATACTAGCAGGAAGGGAGGGTGCTGGCAACGTCCTAGCTTCCAGTATTTGGCCAATCTGTACCCACCAGCAAACAGTTATTTTCAGATATGCATTTTATGTTAAGCACAGTGGAATATCTAAGCATTAGCATCAGAAGAAAGAACTATTATAAGCAAACCAGTTAAAATAATTTGAGTACCGGCCGGGCGCGGTGGCTCACACCTGTAATCCCAGTACTTTGGGAGGCCGAGGCGGGTGGATCACTAGGTCAAGAGATCGAGACCATCCTGGTCAACATGGTGAAACCCCGTCTCTACTAAAAATACAAAAAATCAGCTGGGCATGGTGGCGCATGCCTGTAATCCCAGCTACTCAGGAGGCTGAGGCAGGAGAATTGCCTGAACCCAGGACGCGGAGGTTGCGGTGAGCCGAGATTGCGCCATTGCACTCCAGCCTGGGTAACAAGAGTGAAACTCCGTCTCAAAAAAATAATAATAATAATAATTTGAGTACCTACTATAGGCTACCTACTAAACATACAGTATCTCAAATATTTAGAGCAATATTACTAGATGGTTTTTCTTATTCCTGTTTTAGAGGTCAAGAAATTAAGAATTAAGTTTTATAACTTAACATTGAATGGTTGGGATTGAAAAACCCCAGCTGCGTACTGTGGCTCATGCCTGTAATCCCAGCATTTTGGGAAGCCAAGGTGGGCGAATCACCTGAAGTCAGGAGTTTGAGACCAACCTGGCTAACATGGTGAAACCCTGTTTCTACTAAAAATACAAAAAATTAGCCAAGCGTTGTGGTGCATGCCTATAATCTCCGCTACTTGGGAGGCTGAGGCAGGAGAATTTCTGGAACCTAGGAGGCGGAGGTTGCAGTGAGCTGAGATGGCGCCATTGCACTCCAGTGTAGGCAACAAGACCGAAATTCTATCCCGTAAAAAAAAAAAAAAAAAAAGAAAGCAAAATTCTGTTCTTCCTGAATCCATTGCCCATTCTTTCCCACCTGGACATGTCCAGAGCTGAAATGTTTTAAGGAATTAGTTGCCCCTAAAGCTGAGGTTCCTTGGCAGAACAGATGAGACTCACCTTGGAAGAGTCAGGCTCATAGTGTAGTTATAGATTTCTAAATCTCAGTCCCAAACACCTCTTGTAATAACTGTTTGGTACTTTATATATACAACATAATCAGCCTAGTGAGTCATTCACTGTAGGCGATGGTTCCTTTCCTCTAAAATAAGAAGTTACATTATTTTTTAATAAATAGTCACAGTCAAGTTTGAGTTTGGTTGTTTTTAGTTTGAGCTAACTTCAGTTATGGTTTAGATCCTAGGTTGAACCAGTAGAGCTTGATTACTATTAGTACTATTAGATTATTATTACTATTAGTATTTCATATAATTTACCAAGAAGGAAAACATTTGAGAGAGGGTGACAGTAAAATTCAAGGTGAGGAACTCCAGAAATAGTGTTTGTATACATTTATGCTCCTGCCCCAAAGTGCAGAAGTATTAATTTTCATCAAAGTCAGCACCTTCCCCCACAGTAAGAAAATTAGAATATAAAAGATTACATACTTGTTACAAAATAAATGAGAAAACACCAAAAAGTAAGTAAATAAAAATCACCTGTTATTTCACCAGTGTTAATATTTTGGCATGTAGCATTTGAGATTTTTTCCATACATAAATATAATTGTAGATAAGAAATTGAGTTTTAGAAATATAATTATGAATCGCTTTTTAATATTAAGGGTTACAAATAGCCTGGCAAAATTTCTTGATACTTTGGGTAAAGCTTTAAAATAACATGTTCTGGCCTTGTGAAATAGAACTTTTAAAATAGTAACATGTTCTGGCCTTGTGAAATAGAACTCAGTTCTGTTACAAATAGGCTGTGGGCTGTGTCTCACTCCTGTAATCCCAGAGCTTTGGGAGACTGATGCAGGAGAATTGCCTGAGCCCAGGAGTTTGAGACCAGCCTGAGCAACATAGGGAGACCCCCCTTCTCTACAAAAAATTTAAAAATAAAAAATTAGCTGAGCATGATGGCATGCACCTGTAGTCCCAGCACTTAGGGAGGCTGAGGTAAGTATGTGTATATATATATATACATATATATATATATATATATATGTGTATATATATATTTAGAGATAGTATATTTTATATATATATATATATATATATATATGTGTGTATGTATTTAGAGATGGGTCTATGTTGAATTTATATGTATATGTATGTGTGTATGTATATATACATATATACACATATAAACTAAGATATATTACAGATAAGTACAACATCTGTTCCAACACTCTCTAATATACATATATATAGTATACATATATACACATATAGTATACATATATTAGAGAGTATGTTGGGTTTATACACAGATGCTATAGTTTATCTGTGCATATGATATATTGCTTTAGATAAATAACACTTATTTTCTGTATAATCAGAAACAAATTTAGAAAACTTAGAAAAGCATGAAAATAAAGATTGTTTATAATCCTGCGAGTGGGTCACTTGAGATCAGGAGTTGAAGACCGAAGACCAGCCTGGCCAACATGATGAAACCCCATCTCCACTAAAAACACAAAAATTAGTCTGGGCACAGTGGCTCACACCTGTAATCCCAGCACTTTGGGAGACTGAGGCCGGCAGATCACCTGAGGTTGTGAGTTTGAGACCAGCCTGACCAACATAGAGAAACCTCGTCTATACTAAAAATACAAAATTAGCTGGACATGGTGGTACATGCCTGTAATCCCAGTTACTCAGGAGGCTGAGACAGGAGAATTTCTTGAACCCGCGAGGTGGAGGTTGAGGTGAACCAAAATCATGCCATTGTACACCAGCCTGGGCAACAAGAGTGAAACTCCATCCCAAGAAAAAAAAAATTAGCTGGGCATGGTGGCAGGTACCTGTAGTCCCAGCTACTTGGGAGGCTGAGACAAGAGAATGGCTTGAACCCAGGAGATGGAGGTTGCCCAGATGGCAACCTGGGCAACAAGAGTAAAACTCTGTCTCAAAAAAAAAAAAAAAAAAAAAAATCCTGTATAATAACAAAAACTATACCCAAGGCTTGTACAGTAGCCTGTTTATTGGAAACAGTAACAGTTCATACTAATAAAAATGTTGACATTTCCTAGAATATGTTGTCATGAAAATATAACTAAACTAGTTCAGACTGGCCAGAGAGAGGAAGAAATAGTAACGGGTATGAAATGATCATGATTTAGCATGATTTAGTTAAGTTTAGAAATAGGGGACAGGCTAGATCATGTCATTCTGGTGACAATACATTTATTGAAGTCAGAGGACTCAAGAAAAAAGTGAAAGATGGTTATCTTTATTACATTCTTGAAAGCCTTTTTTTTTTTTTTTTTT